GTGTTTGTTGTTTTATTTGTTGTGTTTATTTAAATTGATTGATAATAATGTATGAAATATTTATAGTACATAAAGAGAGATGATCTCGTTAAAGTTTTTGTAAAAAAGTCTCATTTTGGAACATTTAATTACTTAAAGAGAGTTCCATTAATGTCTCCTTTAATTTAAATGGTGTTGACCAATAAAAATCTCTACCAACACCTCACCAGAGATTTGTTGTGATTTGAAAAATCTCATTACAATAATTACAATTTGATTCAAGCTAAGGAGATAAATACAGAGATTTATTGATAAACTTCAATTGTAAAATTACAAGTATCACAAATATATAATAAACCACTCAATTTGTCAACCTTGATACCAAAATTCATATTAAATTGTCCAAATGATTTTACAAGTGATAAATCATGTCTATTAACAACATGTACTTGATGTCCAGAACTATCAGATAAATAAATTAATTGTGAACCTTCTTCATAAAATAAAGAATAGGCTGTTACTATTGGAAAGGTAGATTTTCTAACTGGTTTCCAACCATGCTTTTTACTACTTTTAAATATTTCCAATTTAGTACCATGACTAATTAATAATTCATTTTCTGATAAAAATTTCAATTCATATCCACTTGCTATTGAAGGTAAATTATTTTCTACTTGAATTTTACCATCATTACAATTTAATATTACAATACCTCTAGTATAATCCATTGCATAAACTTTATCATTAAAAACTTCAATTCCCCAAACATTATCAAATTGTTCACTTGACCATACTGTACATTTATCTGATTGTTTATATTGTAATAAATCTGAAACTTTAATTTTTAAAATCATATTTAAATTATTTGAAACATAAATATATTCTTCATTATCTCTTTCATTTACTAATTTCATACATCTCAATTCATTAGAGAAATTAACATGAAATTCAATGGATGTTATTTTATCAGTACTATTATTATCAGTATTATCATTTTTATTATCAGTATTATTATTATTATTTTATTGGTAATACGAGTAGTAGTAGTAATAATAGGTCTATTATATATTAATAGTGATGAACTTTGAGTGGCAATTAATTTGTTATATTGTTCAGAAATTACAATATCATAATTGTGTGATGTTTGTAATTTATCCAATGTCATTAAATGAGTAAAATTTAATGAATAATTTTTAAACTTGTTTTTACGAATACTATTTTTTAATAATGATATTAAATGTTGAATATTATCTGAGTTTTGGGCTGGATCATTTGATTGTTGTTGCTGTGATGAATTTTTATTATTATTAGGAATAATGAAATCAATGAGATCAACAATCACTGGTGGTGACATTTTTTTTTGATTTGTTTTATTTTTATCAAGTTCATATTGGAACATTCTATTTGACAAAATTCAATTTCATGAAACTATTGTTGATTTGAAAAATTAATTTATTACAAGAATATATTGGTAGTATTAGTATTAGAAGAGGAACGGATTATCAAGTTAATATATAATATTTTAAATTCATCAACTTGGGGGAAAGGTTTTGGAAATTTACAATTATTAGATGAGATTGATTAATAATCAACATCTTCATCATCATAAACAAAAATGTTTTGCTTTGAAAGTTTGATTATACTCTTTTCAATTTGATCCATTTGATTTTCAACAGCTTCTTTTCTTTGAATATGTACTTTATCATTTGGCA